TTTCTGCGTCCAGCTCCAGCCTCTCTCCTCCCCTGCCTTTTTTTTTTAAATCATTTCATTAGAGCCATCTCCTGTCCCAAAGTCGATTTTTCTCCTGCAGTTCCCCTCTCTGCACTATCTGCAAATATGAGTCAAACACATTTTTTGAGAAAATGTTATTTTCTGCCCTACAACTATGCATGCTGTTAAGTTCCATTTCAGGTTTTGATTTCCAATGATAATTTATATGATATAAATGAGGACATAAATATACCACTTTCCAACCTCATTTCTATGAGGACTTCTTAATAGGAGGCATTAATACACTTGATATTAGGCAGTGTGCCTTTATATCTTTAGATAGATAAATATCTTTAGATATAAATAATATATAATATAAAGATATATAACATAAACATAATATAAAGATATAAGTATCTATAAAATAAACATATACATATCTTTAGATAGATATCTTTAAAGATTACACAGGGCACAGCCGGTGGGAGAGGGGAACAGCAAAATAGATACGAAACAATTTACTAACAACTTCCCCCAACTGTACAATATTAAGTTATGCAAAATAGCTTCTGTGATTTCTCATTTAGGATACCAGCAACAGGCATGTAGGCTATAAAACACAGAAATACTGATAAGACAGAGGCAAATTGTACCAGAGAACCAGGAGGACACTGGCTGCAGGAGGCGGTACACACCCCAGCTCAGGCGAACCAGGTGCTTTTTCACTCTGCACCACAAACCGAAGGGACAGTTAGCGACACTAGCATTCATCGTGGATCAGAGCAAGGGCTTTTACACCACAGAAAAATTAAGCTTGAATCGTTTAAATCACAAAAGTTATTGCTACTGCCAAAAGCCAGCAGGGTAGGAGGAGGGTTGCCTTCTACACAGATTCATGCAGACACTGAGCTAAGCACGTGTCCTTTTTCTGGATCCTGCTGAGCCACCCCTCTCCTCCCGAAAGCTGGCACCCCTTTTAGAGCAGCCTCTGCAGCTCATCTGCGCCCACAGCAGAAGCTGGTTGAAGGTCTGAGGAATCTCCTTTGACTGATTCAGCATGTCCAGCTGGAATCGTGCCCCAACGGCCCCAGGAACTATGACTGTATACTTATAAGGAGACCAAAAAGCTCCATCAAAACAAGCACAAGTTTCTTATACAGTGACAGAAGAGATTTTTTTAGATGAAACAAAACCAAAGAAACTGCACTCCCACATGCTCTGTTAGCTCGGCATACGCTCTCTCGCCTTAGATCAGGAAGCTCTGGCTGCCTCTCTTCCCCCAGTCTCAGCTGGGAGAAGCGACGCGCTGAGCACCTTAACCATGCGCACGCACGCACGCACGCGGGGTCTCCTTCTGAGAAGGGCACGTGTTTAAGCCACCGCTTGATTTCACTGATGCACATGTCAGCTCCCCACTTCACCTCTCCAAAAACTAATAGTTCTTTTCATTTCATTTTGCACTCACACAGGCAGCAATCACGCAGTCTTCACAACTCCCCATTTCCCTGGTCTGGCATCATCTATCCAGAGTTACAGTCAGGCACAGAGAACGCAGAGAAATTTGGGTTGAAACCCAGGTAGGTCCTCTCATTAATTGCCAGGAATAAGAACGTTTCTAGAAATCAGGTTACACTTCACCTACTGTTGAAGTACCCGATGCTGATGATGCCGGAAATTAAGTGAGCACAGCAACGAGTTGATCCTGTGCCACTAAGCACAGGGAAGCTAAAATTAAAAAGTGCTCAAAATAACCTGCTATGGTCCCACAGAAATGCCTGAAGCCCTCCACTGACTGTGCACAGCACCACAAGCCCAAGTACACGCTTCCAGAGCAAGTGGTGCAACAACAGCCGTGGGGTGACTGCAGGCAGGCTCTGTCGCTGCAGTCAGGCGTGACACCTGACCACAAGTGGAAGCTCACAAGTCTGTTAGCAGAGAAATAGCTATGGACGCCCTTCAACACCTCCCTTGTTCTTCGTCAGCGCTGACATCCAGCGAAGGGAGCGCAGCAATTCACCCGGGGCATTTCACTGCTAGGCAAGGGAGCAACCAGATTTTAAGTCAGCTCTGCGTTCTTCAAATACAGCACCTACAGACAACATTACCAGTTCTCTGGCTGCGCTGTTGTCTGAAGATGCACATAATGTGTGAAACAACCTTCATCCTAACTGCCCCAGCTTACACCTAACGAGATTCTACCAGAACAGAATATAGCCATCTGAGATCACTAGAAAAATCACTCAATGGAGGGGGGGAAAAAAAAAAGTAATCATGGTTTTTACAGTCAGATTTTTCAGCTGTTTGTTCTATTTGCTTTAGACTTTCTATTTTCAATCCCTACAATTAACTAAGAAAACATTTCGTTCAAGATAGAAAGCTACTGACCATCTCCAAGTACAGCAACCAGATGATAATCTTAGAACAAAAATATATATCCTTGGATCTACTTCTTCACACAAAGAGAGTTCACTGGGCTGCCTCATTCCTCTATGCACACAGAAAGAAACCTAGAGGCATTTCTGAAAGCCGCTCAGATTAGCCTTGCTGCAGCCAATTCCCGCAGCAAGGGGGAGAAACCCCACAGAAAGCGGCCTGGATTTTCAAGGGCTCGCTCTCTCACCCCCAGAATTACAGCACCACCCCAAGCAGAGCAGCCTACTGCCCCTGCAAAGTCGCTCTGGAGAGCAAATCCTACCGTGTGGCTGCCTCAGTCCCGTCTCCCAAAAGATGCCAGCCACAAGGTTTAGTAATACTTAAAATAGCCCAGCCAGCTCGCAGCAGTCCATATAGACAGTTCTATTTCAAGCACACGCAACTTACTGTTAGAGATAGCACAAGAGCAACCCGCTTTCTTCACTCATGCTTGACATTTATCTGATGCTTTGACTATTTATGCTAAGGCAGTGTGAAATTGCAAGCTTGCACATTGAGCAGCTTGGACACTCGCAACGCAATTCTAGCGCCAATAAACGAGGCGGTTTAACTGAGCTTGTTAACCGAGACCAATCTGGAAGCTCATGCCAGGCACAGGAATCACAGACCAGGCAGAAATTTACTCCCGTGTCTCTCCCTGCAGACAGCAGCACCGCCTCCTTATTTTTGCCCAGATATTTTGCCCACCGCTGACTTACTTTTGCCCAAAGCCCAGCTAAGATTCTGCACCTACTGAGCTGACTTCTCCCCTTCCCCACCCGGCCTCCCAACCCCCACTGCCGCTTCTCTACGGCAGAGCGCGCCTAAGCCTCGGAGATATTCCTTCACCTCTGCCCCCCCGCCGGGAATTCGTCTCTGGCCTCTGCCAAGCTG